CTGTTCCAGTGGAGCTAGTTACATTGCGTGTACAACTAGACAAGTTCATCGTCCGATTTCTGAACAGGTCCCATCATGTTTAGGCATAGGACCGAATAGAGCTGAATACTACCTGATCTCGTCAATACCGGATTTCAGGTTGACCCTAAAAAAGCTTTTATATCGTATTTATCATATTTCTTTCAACTTTTTAAATGCTCTACGAGTATGACCTTTGCATACAGCAGTGGTGATCGGAATTCATTTGAACAAGCTAAATCTGTATGTTCAAGAAAATCTGTGCAGCCCATTTCTTTGTAGTGGCCGTCCACATAATATGTATAATGTCTTATAAACGAATTTTGTCTACCTTTGTGACTATCATCTGACTTAGTTATTTTATTATGATTACTATTCCAGCTAAGTTAATTAACATATTTGTACATCCGTATTCTTACGTAATTCATTGTTCTGTTTAGACCAATCATCATTGTGCAACAAATTATTGATCAAAGGATTGATCAGCAGCTGACATCAGCTAGAGAACCATTTGGAAACTTGGGAGTACTAGACAGCCGTTTCGTCCTAGTCTGGAATTCTTCATTAGTGTGCACCCAAGATCCCATCAGTGGTCAGATCCGGAACCTTCAGGTTATGAGACCAAGGTCGTTGACCATACATACAAATAATGAATTTTACAATTTAAAGGAAAGTTTAACAAATTTTATGAAAGCTATTATTTTTTTTATATTTTTGATTTACAGCTTGATTCCACACCGTATTTTCAGTACAAGTATGGAATTTTCAGCATGGATATCGGTAGCCCAAATTCAGGCCGACCATAGATATCGGGTGTGCGCCGGCAGGGGATCGAACCCCGGACCATGTGCATGGTCGCGAGAGTCCTAACCACTATGCCACCGACGCACATTACGTACATTACACGCTATACAAGACAGGATAGTGAAACATCACTACTGATGAAAGGTTTAACTTTCACTGTCGGAAGAAGGTTATTAATACCATACGAATGGGAGTCAGTTACAGGACCAGAATTAGATTGACCATAAAATAAAGAAGCGCAGGCTACATGTCAGAATGATGATAGATTAATCAGTACAATAAAGTTCATTCCTAATATTACCAAGTACGAATTACAGACACTCGACGATTTGCGTTAAGGAGAAAACAAAGGCAGACGAAGACGAATTAACAGTAATTAGTAAAAGAAAATACTAAGGAGACAAGTCAACTGTGAACTCATCCAAAAGATCACATTCTTTTATGGAGAAAAAAAGTATTCAAGGACTTAAAATAAAACTCATAACACAGAAAATCCTTCAAGAACTTGAACCCAAGGAAAGAAGTTTAATTTGGTTCAAACAAAAACTGAAGTTCTCTAACTGATATCTTGCAACTAATCAAATCTCTACAAAATACCTCTTGAAAATTAATTTGATGCTCGCTGGTGACTGACTACAGGACGAAGTTGCCTGGAGTTCTAGTGAGAAGTTGTGATCAGTAGGGTCCACCAGGTTGAGGATGTGGACAAATACTCGCCGACGGCAGTGGCTGGTTGCCACATAATCGTGGGGCGGGGCAACACATTCAAAAATACGTGAGATAGCCGTTCCCAAATTTTGTCCTTCGATCTCAAAATGTACTCATGAACTTTTTACAACTCGATTTCAGCTAAATGTCATGCATTCCTCTTTAAGGAGAAAGACTAGGAAGAAATGTCTTAATGAACTAGTGTGTGCTCCAGGTCAGAATGCATTGTGCCACACGATCTACTATAGATTAATTATTCATCTAAAGATCGTGTGTGAAGAGAAAATGTCATGCAATAAAATTCGCTGAAAATTTTGTACATTATATAAACACTGTCCAGAATAAAGCCATTATATCATTAATGTTTTATTATTAGATAAGACGCTTCCATATTGTATTTCATTTGGCAAAAGCACTAAAGTATGTTATCATCATTTATATAACCATTGTAATTTCAGGTAGTCTGCAGCTGATGAGAACCTGTGAAATAGAATGACGATATCATTTTATGCTGCAAATTTCGTCTTCCTTTCTTTATCCAAAAGCATAATCATCAAGTATTGGTTCTCTAGGGATATTGTTTGATTAGATGGGGGATTTCATTATGAGCTGACATCAGTAAGGGAACCATTAGAAAACCTGGGAGTACTAGACAGTTGTTTCGTCACGCCATGTCATGAATTGGCAGAAGTTGGTATTCATGGGCCATTGGGTCGAGTCTCAGTGACTGAACGGTCTACAAGCTCACCTCTTAACCGGAAGGTCATGTGGGTTGTAACCCCGTAGTGCGGGTGCGTAACGCTGAAGAGTCCCAAACCAGGACGAAGCAGCTGTTCAGTACTCCCAGATTTTCCAATAGTTCTCTAGCCGATGTCAGCTCATGATGAAATCCTGTAACCAATCAATCAAATCCCCACAAAGCAACACTTAAGTATTATTATTATTATTAACCAAGACAAAGATAGTTCCATGAATAACTTCAAAAACACTGTGAAAAAATGCTGCTCCACGTATCTTCACTTATAGATACAATTAACAAACACATACACTCGGTTTAGCATCAACAGTCTATTCACTGTCCTAGTCAATCAAAAAGAATAGATGCTGATGGACTATTTATAAGGGTCACGATAAGGCTATTAATGCTGACTAGTGTTCATGTCAAGTAACTACTGAAGGCTAATGCACTTAACTGTAAAATAGTAATTGATTTGTTCAAAGGGCTTTTTCTTTTTCATTCCTTTGCATTCCAGGTGGAACATTGGGTTTCAGACTTGAGGCTTTAGTAGCAGTGGTGTTATTTTTTATGGGGTCACTAGCCACACACCTAACGTTCCCTCTTTACCTAGCTTGCAACAGGCTAAGTGAGGTTTAGGAGTGCGTCGGCTGGGAATAGAACCCCGGACCACGTGAGGCATGGTTGGCGAGCATTTTATCACTTAATTACCAACTCACACACACACACACACAAAGCCTTATCCGCTAGACCACCAGGCCAAGTTCCAGGATAAAAAACAGATAATGTAGTACAATAACACTAACAACCTAAAAACTGTTTGGCCAGTGAATAAACAAACATTAACTGTGAATCTGTTATATGGGCCTAATTTTCCTAAAATACTCCATGTATTTGTATATGGCTAGTTGTATTTCCCTCACCGCACTTATAACCTTGGAATCCTATTGGCTGTTGCCTGTTTTAATTTACTATATGTGTAAAACTTGGGCACTGTGGTAGTATGTAATTCCACATTAATTTGTTTATTAGATATCACACACACACACAGTGAAACATTATTTACTGGATGACACAGTTTCGAACACAATTTACTGTTTATAATCATATCAATTATAATCACACGACTCCGAAACTCGAATTTTATAGTTTTCTTTGTTCTCTCCTATTTGTCATAAGGGTAGTAGAATTTTCCAGATATCTGGGACAGGTGTTGAATCATTCCTATTACACGTGTTTGCAGTTGATTCGATAAACAAAGCTTCCGTTATCAATCTCTCCCTCCACCCTGTCACATTAGATTGTAAAACTGTCATCTTATCCCATCCTATTGTATGGTTCTGTGTAATTGCATGTAGTCAGTGGTGTAGCTGAACTATTCTCTAGATTTCTTATCTTATTCGGGTCAACTAATCTAGATTTTGCTAGGTTTTTATGCTCGACTAGTCTGACTGCTCCTGTTCTACTACTTTGACCTATGTATTTGACGTGACAATCACTGCAGGGTATTACATAGACTAAATTGTTTTGTTTAATTGGCTCCACCGGCAGGGTACTTTAACCGACAAAGCTTGTTTCAAATTGAGTGTGTGTGTTTGAATGCCAGCCATTTTAATTCGTGCATTGTTAAGAATCCTAGGCAAGGTTTCCGAGGTTCCTTCTTTGTATGAAAGTACTACTGATGATTTATATTCCCTATTGTTGGTATCGTCATTATCTTGTGCATGGCTGACAATAGTTAATTAACTATCCAGCTCAGAGAACACAACCACATCAAAAATGCATGTCGTCATTAATATTACTACTATTATCACTACTATTATTATTTATTTTATTTTCACTGTTGATATGGGACAGTCAAAGCTCACCACATCAGCGGTCTGTCTTCTCTTCTTGTCTTCTTGCACTGTGGTTACCATGGTATCGTATCGTGTTGTTGTTGTTGCTAATATTTGGTTAAAACAATAGACTCGCAAATCGACTAGATAGGAAAGTCGTCAGCGCAACTACCAACTGCATTAACGATCATATCAGAATCAGAAATTCCCTTAGCTTAGAGATGACTGATATATATATTGGGGAATTATCAAGCGAAATATTCAAGTGATGATTTATTCGTAGTCATGGTAACATCACTTATCTTCTAAATAAATAAAAACAGCAAGTTTAAGAAAGCATTAGTGTATTTGTCATTCTACTTTTAACTCTCCTATATGATCATCATCATTATTATCATTATTCATGAGCATTGTAATAAATAAATAAAGTTCAAATGGTGCGTAAATAAAAGTATCAATGGTAATGATAATAATAATAATAATAATGCGGTAATAAGTGTGAATATAACTTCGCATAAAAAAAACAAGAATAAGTCAGAATTAAATAACCATAAACAAGAAAATCATGGCATATTTCCTAAAAAGCGGAAGACTAGAAACACCAAAAAGAAAAGAATGCAAAGATTTTGAAACCTGAAGGGAAGACTATCCTCAGAAACTGCTTCTTTATTCAATAAACTCTAAGTGTACGTAAGCAAAGGGACACACATTGTGCTGTTATCCACCACTGTTCATTCAGACAGTATAGTAAACTGGAATGTAGTCAAACCAGGTGAGAAAATAAAGATAAAAGATGAAAGAACCACTGGAGGAAAAGAAGAAGGCAGAAGGAGGATAAATCATTTCTTTCTCTAAAAATACAACAAGAAATTGGAAAAATCATTCCCCACCCCCCCCCCCGCAAAAAAATCATCTTTAAAAAATATCTGAAACAAACATCGAAAATATTTCAGTTCGAAGTAGTAGTTGTAATAGTAATAGTGATAATAATAACAATAGTAATAATAAAAATAACCGTTAACCAATTTTGTCGTTATTATTATCATTATTGCACAACCATAAATGACTATTTAGTAGCACAACCATTGTTAAAGTAATGATGAAACCATTGGAATGCTTGTTACATAACATAACAACCGATAAATAGAAATATATGAATAAATAAATAAATAAATAAGTAATATACTTGAAATTAGTCAATTTCCTCTTTATTCAAATATTCTTCCTACTAGTTGTATAAAAAAAGTTCCATGGATAACTAACTGGGTTGATAGTGAGTAACTCCAGTCAGAGCGAAGAGTTTGATCACAACCAATGGTATAATGGTATAATAAATAATATAGATTTTGTGGTATGAAGAATATTGTACAAATAATGACCACCACACACTCACGCACCCACAATGCACCTTAGGTTTTCTTCGCATCCCATACTTTATGGAAATTTTCCATAAATGAATCATAGATCATAAAACTGATACAAACATCTAAGCAGACACGACCTAATCGAGGTACTGCACCTTTGTAGAAACTGAAAAGATCAGAAAAAAAAGAAAGAAAGACTAAGGTATTTATCTATCTATGAAAAATAAAACAGTTTTGAATAAATTCACTTTACAGCAATTTTTGTCATGTTTTGAAGTTCTTTACAAAAGAAAAGCCATTGAAAACTGGGGAAAACATGACATTTTTTCATTTAGGCTGAAATACATAAGCATAGGGCATTGAAACTAAACTTATTAAGTCTTCAATACATCTTGTGCATGAAAGTTGTCAAGGGTTCGAACCCTGGCGGACACCTAGTTGGTAGTAAGCTCAGTTAAAGAGGGAAGGTTGGGCTTAAGGCTAGCAACCCTACACTGTAGAAAATAAACAAAAACGCTACTAAACCTTCAAACTTCATGTTTAAAGTTCTATTAGGTGGTTGGAGGCAATCGGAAGGAAGCCTTGAACCTAGGTCTCGTGCTAGTTGGCACTCATCAGCAAGGCGTATCTGCAACCTTGAAGGAGTTCTATGTCCCACTAGGAATAAAGTTTTAAAAATTGCTCAAGAAACTACTAGCCAAGATTATACTTATCTGTGAAATTGATGTTAAGCATTCATTCATAGCTGACGAGTTCTACCAAAATTTGAGGAATCGACTGGAACCTCTTTTATTAAATTTGGTTGCTTGTTTTCAACTTAAGCTTACGAAGAAACCTCGACACTCGTAGAATAAGTGTATTCGGTAAAAACACACAGTGAGTGGATGATGTTTCGGAGAATAATTTATTGCTCATTATCCTATTGAGGCACTCACATAACATTCAAACTACGTGTATATAATTCTGGTATTTTTTATCCTTTGATTTTGCTGGTAATAATATTTTCCACTTGTTTCGTATCGGTATCGTATCATTCCTAGATATAAGAATAGAACTTGTGCACTGTGGTAGAGTGTAATTCCATTATGGGTAAATTTTGTTTTGATAAAGTCTCACAGTGTTATACAGTAATGTTTACTGACGACGTTTCGAGCACAATTTATTGCTCATAATCATGTCAAGTTAATCACACGACTTCCTAAATTCATTTATATAGTTCCGTTGTTTTTCACTTGATTTGATTGGTAGTAGTATTTTCCATATTTCGGGTATGAGTGATGAATCATTCCTATTGTATGTGTTGGTTGTAGATTCTATGAGCAAAGATTGAGTAATCAACCTCTTTCTCCACCTACCTAGATTACTTTTTAGAATTTTAACCCTCTCCCACCCTATTGTGTGGTTGTGTGTTAATGCATGCATTGCAATTGCTGAGCTTTTTTCTAGATTACTTATCTTCTCGGGTGGGGTCAACCATTCTTACCTTAGCTAAATTCTTATGTTCTGACAATCTGACTACTCCTGATCTACTAGCTTGACCTATGTAGCTGACCTCACTCACAGTCATTGCAAGGTATTTTGTAAATTATATTATTTTGTCTAATTGGGTCAGCTGGGTCCTTTAACCTACAGAGCTTGTCTCTGAGTGAGTTTGTAGGTTGGGTCATTCCTTTTGTATGTGTTAGGTGTAGATTCAATGGACAAAGATCCAGTGACCAAGCTTTTCCTTCACCTGCCCAAAAGCTCTGCAGGCTAAGGGAACCTATGGACGCAATTAGACAAAATTTAATTTACAAAATACCTAATAATGAATACATAAGTTATACCAGGAAAAAGATCGAGGGTAGCACCAGATTATCAGAACATAAGAATTTAGCTAAGTGTAGAATGACTGATCCCCCCGGAGATGAATAATTCTGAGAAAAACTCAACAACTTCAATGCATGCATCAATTCACAATAACACTATAGGGTGGGACAGCGCTACACTTCTAAAAAGTAATATAGGCGAATAGATGCAGAGGTTGACCAGTGAATCTTTATTCATCGAATCTACACTTAACAGGTGAAATAGGAATGATGCAACGACAATTACCAGAAATATGGAAAATATTACTACCGAAAAAAATCAATGGATAAGAGATACCAGAATTATATAAGCAAAGTGTGAGCACCTTGGTATGATTATCAGCAATGAATTGTGCTCAGAATGTCATCAGCAAATAATATTATGTCAGTGTATGCTTTTATCAAATACATTTATTCCACGATAGAATTATACTCTACCACAGTGCACAAGTTCTATTTTCTTTTGTCAAAAAACTGCGAAACAGCTGTTTAGCACCATTTTATATCGCTTCTTGCCATAATCTCCCTTAAAACTAATCAGGTCCGAACAAATCAATATTTAAGTGGAAATCACCTTTAAGTAAATTTAGTGTTGTTGGTAAGCCTTGTTGCAGATAGGTTATCAATTATATCATGATAAAATGGCAAGTTATACATCTCTTAGGCTTAAACTCCAACCGTTGTTTTTAACAGTAACAGAGATCTCCAAAGAGGAGATAAAGAGATGTGTTAACTGAATTTCAAACCTTTCAAAATAATAAAGAGAGAATACCCATCCAGACATGAATCTAAGATCAAACGATTTAGCAAAGAGTCTCTTTTCGGCGAATCCATTCACTTAACTGTACAATCGCATTTGTATATCATTATTTCGTGTGTGTGTGTGTGTGTGTATGTGTGTGTACATTAGGATTGCCAAACAAAATAAAAATTAGTTAGGGTTATTGTTTAGCTCATCAAAATGTTTCAAAAATGTGATGAATAATCAAGTTGTATTTAGAAAGGAGGGTGAGGATCGGTAAGTATTGACAAGGGTTGCGTAATATAAAAGACATCCAGAATAAAAGGATGTTAATGAAAGAGCATGGAGACACCTGTTCAAAATAAATTATGTAATAGGTAGAAAAAGTAAATAAAGGGTTGGTTAACAAGAAGAGGTTACTAAAAGGTCATACAAAAGTTCAAAAAAAAGATTCAAGTATATTCTTTCTACCTATTACATACTTTATTTTGAACAGGTGTCTCCATGCTCTTTCATTAACATCCTTTTATTCTGGATGTCTTTTATATTACGCAACCCTTGTCAATACTTACCGATCCTCACCCTCCTTCCTAAGTACAACTTGATTATTCATCACATTTTTAAAATATTTTGATGATGTAAACAATAGCCCTAACTAATCTTTATTTTGTTTGGCAATATTAATGTACATACACGAAATTTTTTCTTCCTTCACGTTCCCTGTGGACCATAGGGCTTCGAGCTAGAGGCTTAAAGTTTCTGTAACAGTGTTTATTTTTATAGGATGAAGTTGCTGACCTCATGAGCAACTTTTCCTCTTTACCAGCTTTTTATTTCTGGCTTATCGAGGTAAAGGAGTGCGTCGGCCTGGGATGGAACCCCGGACAATGTGCATGGTAGGCGAGCGTCCTAACCGCTGTGCCACTGACAAACACACACGAAATAATGATGTATAAATGCAGTTGTACAGTTAAATGAATGAATTCGTCGAAAAGGGATTCGCCGCAGAAATTTTTTTCTCATACAAAGATAACACAGAATAAAATAAATCTCAGCAAGATTCAAACTACTGTGAATATATATATCCCATTTCATCCTGGTAACAAACTTTCTTCCACCTATTACATAATGATGATTACATACTTCTGTTGAATTCTCATTTTTTTGCCATTCCCTTTATTACTATTACTATGGTTTTTTCTAACCCATTGATCTGAACACACATAACTGAGTTCCGATCATTTCCGAACACTTACTTCTGTGGTATTACACAATTTTCTTTTTTCTTGTTTGTTGTTGATGCGTTAGTGGTTTTTGTTGTTACGTCAACTAATAAAACTTCTCGAAAATTCTTTCAAACTTATAAATAATTCGAGTTAGATCACAGATTGATATCAGTTAGAGAACCATTGAAAACCAGCAGCAGGGAGTACTGGACAGCCAGCTGTTTCATCCTAGTTTGGGAATCATCGGCAGTATGCACCCACTACCAGGTTTGGAACCCAGGACCTTCCGGTTACAAGGCAAGCTCGTATACCGTCCAGCCACTGGGAACAGTTTCAATAGCTAGCCCATGAATACTAACTTCTACCAATTCGTGATATTTAGCGCGAAGACCAGCCAATGTCAAACTTGATAAACAAACCTAATCCTTACAAATCAACTCTTGAAAATGATAAATAACACTATTTTCTTCCCGTGTTATTTGTGTAACTAATTATACCATTAAAGTGAAGTTCACTAATTATTGTTTCCTTAAACTACAACCTACATGCTAAAAAATGCATGTCCTTATTTTCTTAATACTATGTACATTTTAGGCTGTCTGTCTGAAGTTACAGAGAAGCCTTGAAATGAAGTATGCAAATTTTGTTCTTGCTTTGATGAAGATGACCAAGGGAATAAGGTTGAATGATTATCACTATGAGTGCACGAAAAGCACACTAAAGCAATAACACAAATATGCTGAAGCAGAGGAAAACAAACAAAGAAGACAAAGCACTTGGAATAGAAATAATAGCTAAAATTTAAAAAAAAACAATAACAACAACAATAAACTAACGCAAAGAAGCCTTCTTCAACCCATATTTTCCAAGCACAATGAAGTGTATTTTTATATTTATGTGCATCTAAACCCTGAAAATAAAAGAGAAAAAGAAAAACATGTACACAGTGTATTACAATAACTTCAGTAGTTATTTCTATGAAGTGTTTATTAGCTTATGATATTTTCAAGTGTTGATTTACAGGGATTTTGTTGATTTGAAGATTGATCACGAACTGGACAACTGTTTCCTCCTTGTTTGCATTTCTTCACCAGTACACGTTCATGATTCTACTAGGGAGCAAAGCTAGAACCTTCAGGTAACAAGACAATCTCGCTGACCATTCAGCAAATGGGACGAAATTCAATGGTCCAGTTAATTCCAACTTCTACCAATTCGCGACATATATGTATACCACAACCACCAACCAATGTTATCACTAGCCATAGCCTATCCTGCAGCTAAGCTCGTTCCCGTCTTTCGAACAACTTGCTCTTTGGTGCAATCAAAAATCGATAGATATCCTTCTCATGTTAACTCCAACTGTATATACAAATTTACATGTATCTGTGGGAGCAGTTACATTGGAAGAACAGAAAGAAGGAGATATCTACGATTTTCTGAACATGGACCAAAAATCTTACGTCTAAAGGGAACAAATGCTTTAGACAGTGTCATCACCAGGCATCTCCTGGACACGGGTCATGTGGTGGACATCGAAAAGTCGTTCAAAATTATCAATAAGCAAAAGAACTCAATTCTCCTTAAGTTTGCTGAAACCATTTCCATCAAGCGCCTGAAACCTGATTTATGCGTTCAGAAAGAAGCAGTTATCAGTCTTTCTTTGCCCTGGTAACTGGATATTTTTCATCCGAATGTGAGATGCTGAAAAGTTTTCATTGTGTATGATTGTTATTGTTCGGAATAGTGTTTAATATTACATATATATATATCTATATATTATTAGTGTATGTGTATATTGATCGATTGATTTTTGTTTAAAATGAACTCTGTGCAAGTATGTTAAAATTGTTTTTGCAGATACATTTAATAATGTCTTTGCCCTGTAATCAGCTGAAGAGAAGGCGACGAAATAAGAGATGGTACCATTTTATTCTGCTAAATCTGTAATTGTTGCTTTGTTTAAATTCATTAAGGGGAACAAATGTATGAAATTATCGGTTAGTATTTGTACTCACCCCCAGCTTGATGAACCCCGGTAGTTACAGCTTTTTACTAGAACTTTGAGCAACTTCCCTCTGTAGTCAGCCACCAGTGAGCGCTAGACTGGCGACATGGCTCAAAATCGTTGTCAATGGCGCAGATGTATTCAGTCTCTTTAACCTTCATACTCCTTTCTACCATTACTCATTCTGTTTCACTCTTATACTTGTCAAAACTCTATTGATTCTCTTCACTCATTTTCTTGTCTACCTTTGTGTGCTATTGGAACGTGGCAACTCGAACTGCTGCACTTCAGTGCCAAGTTCTATGTTGAATCCAGACAGACAGACTGGCGAAGACTCCCAAAGAGTGGCAAAACAGCTGTTCAGTACTTACTGGTTTTCACAATGTTCCTCTAACTGAAGCCTATTTATGATCAATCTTGATATATTTTAATAATAATACGTATCACTTATATTAGAAAATATTTCGTTGCATTTTAAATAAGTATAAAGTGAACATATATAGAGAGGGAAAAATGAATTCTGATTCGACAATCTCGTTGTTGAACATCCAACGATATATTGAAACAAACCGACCATCGATTCAGGTATTACGGTCACAGCAGTTAACTAAATATCAGTCACTTTACGAACTAGAACAATAAACTATTTATGATTTGAGGTTGTGATCATTTTCTAGGTATAATTACCGGAAATAATGAAGTACATAGTTATCCAAAATTGTAATTTATTAGTCAGTAGGACTAATTTTATAGTCAAGGAATTATAAAATAGGTGAACAAGGAGACTTCCTATACCTTTTATAATTAAAATGCGGATAAATGTTATTACCAAATTGATAATTAACACAAGTGTATAAATTATAGTAGAAGAAAGGTTTCCTTGAATATTCGGCTCATTGTTCTGTTTTCTTCACTCATTTCTTTGTGTTCCAAGTGGAGCATAGGGTTTCAAGCTTGAGTTTTGAAGTTTCAGTAAAGATGGTGAGGTGCTAACTTCATGCCCAACCTTCCCACTTTATTCAAGTGTTGGTTTGTAGGGGTTTGATTGGTCACAGGATTTCATCATGAGCTGACATTGGTAGGAGAACCATTGGAAAACCTGGACAACTGTTTCGTCCTAGTTTGGGTCTCTTCAGCAGTACACACTCACCTCACGGGTTCAAACCCACGACCTTCTGGTTACAAGGCCAGCGAGCTCGTAGACCATTAAGCCACTGGGACCCGATCCAATGGTCCAAGAATTCTAACTTCTGCCAATTCACGACATAGCGCGACCCCTAGCCAATGTCTTCAGCGAGTATTCGTCCTCACACCCGACCTGCTGCACCCTACTGGTCACGACTACTCACTAGAACCCCAGGTAACTACCTACCTGAATAGAGCAATTCGCTACTCACTAGAATACATGGGCCATTGGATCGGGTCCCAGTGGTCTACGAGCTCGCCTTGTAACCAGAAGGTCCTGGGTTCGAACCCCAGTGGGTGCGTACTGATGAAGAGTCCCAAACTAGGACGAAACAGCTGTCCAGTACTCCCAGGTTTTCCAATGCTTCCCACTTTACCTAGCTCACTAGCAGCCAAGAGACGTTTAGGAGTATGTCGGCCACTTCAAATAGTAATCTGTACTGTATGCCATGTTTGAGGCAAATCTGATTTCTTCGGAAACAGTAAAAACAAGATAAAACGAGAAAATAACATAGAGACCAAGTACCATCCAAATGAAACAATGCGTTACTAGTGTACAACTATCAATTTATTTAATTGAATTTTAGATTTTCCCGTCGATTGACTGGACCGAAGTGCTCGGTCTCAGGTTGAAATGTGCAGATGCTTCGGCGTTGTCTGGGCATGTGATTAGAATTTAATTGGTGGATGGTGACTAGCAGTGGAATCCAGGTTGCGCATTTCATCCTATTTGGGACTCGTCAACTGGAAGCCGACATGTCAACCTGAGACCGAGAACTTCGGTCCAATCAATCGACGGGAAAATTTAAAATTAAATAATTAATACGACCCGTTGCACAAGAGGTCCAAGCCGTCCAGTGGATAACGCTTCGGCATTTGAAACTATGGGAACTGGGTTCGAGACTCAGTGGGAGCATCTTCCCTCACTAGGGAATGCAGGTACATCCAGATGACGAGTCCCAAGTAGGACTAAATGCGCATCCTGGATTTCACTGCTAGTCACCATCCACCAATTAAACTATCAATTTAGTTTCTACTGAACTGTCTGTCCCATTTTGACGTGTCATGTTCTCTGTGATGTCTGCTCAAAAATAAACACTACAGCAATAACAGATTATGAAATAAGCTTAATAAAAGTTAGATAACAATAATATTTGTGTGAGTTTATGATCTAGAAAATTATAGTACATACTTGCATTCGTGTTTTAATAACATCCAACGGTGTATTTCCGTATACTGACGCTGCTCCAGCCACGATACCAAACAATCCGGTCAATAATTTTGGCACAGGTAGTCCACTAACCTTATCGCCTCGATATTGTCGATAGCCATCTTTAAGTGTTTCCATGACAAAGAAACGAATGGCTTGATTACTGCCTTGTTTAAGAATTGTCGGGGTTACACCTTTATAAATACCAGTAATGCCTATAGGAACAGAAAGGAAAGAAAATCAAGTATATTTATCACAGTACAGTTAGTTTTGCATTGCCTCATACCACTGGGAGCAAATAACACTGAGAAGTACATATTCAAAACAATGGACAGTCATGTGATTACCTTTTCTGTAAAGTTTGTGGTAAATTTAATTAGTGAGATTGAAGAAAACTGTAAAAGGGGCCTACAAACAGAAACTGATAGAGTTCATGACATGTGAACATATGATAAACATTATTCTAATCGATTCTGAATGAATACCTTCGTCTTTAGCAAGGACTACTTACATGAATAGGGGTAAGAACATAAAGATTATATTCTTCGTAGTGGACTTAATTACAGACTAATAAAGGTCAGAAAACCAAAGAAATCACAGAGCACCGAACAGATGCTCCTTAGTAGTTCCGAAGTCTTCAGAATTATTATGGTCTTACACATCTCATAGCTATCAGTTATAAAAGAAACAGGTAATAAAGACTCAAACTATTCATCATATATATTATGGAAATTAAAGTCTCATTCACGGTACACATTATGGTCCAAGCGTTGTCATGGCTTTCTGTTATTATTCTCATAGTCATTGTTTAAATTGTCTTATACACACAAATTAACCAAGGTGATTTCCACCACTCATTTCTATCGTCTTGTCTTCACGGATCACCTCTTAGGACGTATATCATTATATCATAATTAAAACAAAAAGTTGATACATTATGGGCTCCAAGAGGTGTGCCACACAACATCTCATAGTATAGGCGAGGGATAGGATACTGTCAGGAAGCACAGACCAAAGCAGATGGTAGTCTAATAGGACCATCCTCTGAGCCTTTGACTTGCAGTCTAATCTAAAAGGCAGTATAGCAGTGTTAGGAGCTACATTCCAATGGTTGCCAGTGACCAAATCAAGCCAATATGCCATCCGATCTTTTCAGATTCTGGAGCCCATGTATAACATAGGTTTGGAAACCGGGTTTTCCAGCTCCCATAGATAAACTTGAACGTCTACTGGTCCGGTTGTAAGCGCCGGATATTTACATTCACCCTTTTACTTTTTTGAGGAAGACCCCCGCCGCGTGAAGGCGGTGAGTAGGACTTATCTGGTAGAGGCCGCATGAAAGCATTTTGAGAGAAAGACTGAAATCTACCCACCCTCATCCGTACCAGGTCGTGTATAAAGAGACATAACATCGAGGATAAAAATTAATCACTAAACGCAAATTCTATTACAATCATGAAAGTCACAGGTAAAGATGTTAGAAATTGCTAAAGGAGTTGAATGAATATTGAACATTCAAAAGATCTGAGCCCCACCATTTGAAACATCAAAAATTTCATACTCTTGTATAGCATTGAGAAGAAAAAGCTTTACGACGCTGGCGACACTTTAAAAGGACAAAAAATGAATTTTTCTCTCTGAAAAAAAGTTTATACCTAATCTCAGTACGACGTAGACAAAATGATTACTGTTGGAGATGCATTTCATAGCAAATTATATATTCAAATGAACTGTCGTCAAGATTTGACAGAATAGTTCTAAAATATTTGGGCGCCGAGTGAGAAGTAGACATTTGTAAAAAATTATATTTGTAAAATCTCAGCGAGATTGAAATGAGTAATTCCAACGTTTCCTGTGTTTGGCAATCTGGTCCGAACTTCTTCAGGGGAAATTAATCAAAATTAACATAACGGAGGTTTATATATAAAAGGAACATCACTTTTTTTTGAAAACTCCGTCCAATCATGAGTCATTCAACAAGTATCAACAAGTACGATAGACAAAATTTTTTTGAGCTGTGATCAAAATTTGACCTCGAACTTACAAATATTGGTCTACCTTTGTTAAACACTTAAAACAGAGTGTGTATGTGTGTGTGGGTAAACGTCTCCATAAGAAGATATGGACAGTCGGGAATTTTGACCAAGTATTAATAAGTTCGGACCAGATTGCCGAACGAAACGTTGGAATTACTCATTTCAATTTCACTGACATTTTACAAATATAATTTTTTACAAATGTCTACTTCTCACTCGGCGCCCAAATATTTTAGAACTATAGTGTCAAATCTTGACGACAGTTCATTTGAAGGTAGACCAATATTTGTAAGTCCGAGGTCAAATTTTGATCACAGCTCATACAATTTTGTTTATTATACTTGTTAATACTTGTGTTTATGAATCATGATTGGACAAAGTTTTTAAAAACAAGAAATGTTCCTTTTATATATAAACCTCCGTTATGTTAATTTCGATTAATTTCCCCTGAAGAAGTTCGGACCAGATTGCCAAACACAGGAAACGTTGGAATTACTCATTTCAATCTCGCTGAGATTTTACAAATATAATTTTTTACAAATTATATATTCATTAAAAATATCTATTTGTATTTTAAAAAGTGTATGTAGTGGTTCTTTGCTTAGAATGTACTCCATTAATGTAAAACTAATCTTTACGAAATAAAAATTATTATTATTATTAATAACCAACTACTTATGCTGAAGTAACGACCTCATCAAATCTAAACGTGAGCATACATGTAGGACAATTTTTTATGAGCACATTACTGAAATCGCTCTTAGTGGCAATATTACAGTTACATTGAATCCGCTGAGAGATTTATGACCAGTTTTGACCAGAATAGACGAACTGATAGACTTAAAAAGACTGATTCCTACGGGTTCTGAACAAGATGAGGAGCAGAAGATGCTCAAATGTAAACTGACTAAAGGTTTTTACAATGACTGTGAACAGTAGTGGGCCATAAAAGTCAAAGAGATGAAAAAGCTGTCCTCGTGGATAACACCAGGTAACTATTTAGACTCATTAAGGTAATGTGAGGGAATACGAGATAGTCTCGTTGAACTGGGGTAAATCATTAACAGCCTCAGTGTATAGGAAGAAAGATAAGTCTTCCTGTCATAATCATCATAGGAGGATGAGCTTCAATAAACATTCGTAGACTGACCAGTGCTGGGAACAAAAGAAAGCGTGAAAAAAAACAGTCAGACTTTGTGCCAGCAAAAGGGCGTACTTATCATATCTTTATCCTTCAGCAGATCCTGAAAAATACGCATACTCACTGTGTAACAGTTTATAAATTCACCACAACCAATGGTGTCCGTTAGGGATGACGAATATCTCTACTATCATTGCTTAGTTTCATCATCGATGTTCTTCTACCTGTGACTCTAAACGACTTCAGTATCTCAGGGATTGACTTCTTAGTAAGGAACAGTCCCTTCAATTTAAAGTGTGCAGATGATGCAGTCCTTCTAAGTAAAGATGTTGAAAAAGTGCAGTCTTCTGAACATCCTGAGCAGAAATCACAGTATGTTTGATAAGTGACTTTTCCCTGTCAAATGTAGTATAATGCTGCAGGACTGGTTTGTACTAACTTTTAGTTTAAAGAAAGGGGGTGAAGTAGACGAGCATGTTGACCACTTCGCTTCTTTCGGAAGCTAAATTAGCTCTAATAGACTGATTAGTGATGAAATCTCAGCACGGATACATAAGGCCAGTGTAGCACTCACCAGCTTATGTCACCTCCAGCGCAGACACGATACCTAGCTATAATGCGAAAGTTGTGTACTGCGCGACAGTTCAGTGTACCAGATAAACCTTACTTATCAGTGACAGAAAACATACAATCTATGTAGAGTGCTTTAGACGAGCGACACTAAATACACTTCATTTACACATTCCTCATCTTCTTTTAAATTCTTCAACCACAACTGTTATTATCGATTAGTTGTTGTCTACTAAAGATTGTCGTCTTATTATCACCTATGATATTCTTAATTGTGGTCAACTGCATTATGCGTCAGACTGTGCATGGAAGCGAGAAGACAGCAATACACTGAATCACCAATATTAAGACTCTGGAAGATCTGGATTTCACGCGTGGACGATTTGTGTTTAATGATACACAAACTTGAAAACTTGCAGGCGAAAACCAACAAACTGGCAAACGTAGCAGGCAGCGAAGACAGGTTTCCAGGTGAACATATAGAAGATGGAAGTGACGAAGGTAATCAACCAACAGCAGCAACAACAACAACCAGCACCAATCACCATCAACGAGACAGATTTAACGGAGGTTACTTCCTTCACTCATCTAGGAAACATCGTTTCAACTACAGGCGACAGTTAGGATGAAGATGTCATAGCCGACCAGAATCGGGAAGGCAAGATACACATTCATCAACCTGAAATCAGTATCGAAGTCTTTTGCACTCAGCCAGTATAAACAACAAGATTCGGATTTCCAACACAAATGTAGTGTCAGTCACTTCTTCTGCATGGGTCAGAAACTTGCACTGCGTGTCACGAAAAAGATTTCCAACAGGTTACAGACGTTTATCAACAGCTGCCATCTTCGCTGGCTGGCTCCATATTGAAGATAGAATAGCCGGTTGGCCAGAGTGAATTAGCAACAAGAAACTCTAGCAGCAAACTAACCAAGAGGCGATCGCTCAACAAATACGTAGGGGAAAATGGGAATGGATCGGGCATACGTTGGGGAGGTCGTCGAATGCCATTACGTGCCAGGCCCTCGAGTGGGACTGGAATGTGAAATGACGAGTGGGTCGTCACATAGAGGGTGACATGGAGGAGATTGTGTGGCGAAGAGAAAATACAGTAGACATCTCTAAAGTAAGATATTTTTTAAAGTTTGGATATTACCTCCTCCAAGAATCGTCTAGTTTTGAACGTGGAAAACATAAAAAGAGAAAACAGAATCAGGTTAACTTTATTCACCCGTCTGCTTACAGGTCATCATAAACCACTGGGTTAATATTTGATGAACAATAGTTGATCAAAACTGATAGTGAGTTAGACTGCTGCTTTCTTCATTTTCTATTAAGATAATAAACAACCAATCAGACATCATTAAAACAAACAAAACACAAGAATTCACTTGAGGAAAAATAGGTTTTTTTCTCTTTCTCTCTCTCTCTCACTATGCATACTGATCGATTAAAATCAAGAATGTT